CTTGTAGCAAAGCTGTAAAATTACCTTTCTTAATCAGGAATTGTGACACGATGTCCTCTGGAACTGAAGATGAAGAGAATAAAAGCAAAAGATAATTGGCATGGTAAAATAAAATACAAATCAGAGGAAAAGGAAATTAAGGATCCCTCTCAAGTGGAGAAATTTATTCGAAAAGGTAAGATGCCTCTTTACGTATCTTCATAACACCAATTTAAGACCTTAAATTACTCATGACTAAAGATATTTTAAATTCCATTTTAGATATCTGAATCTAAGATACACCTAGTCAAAATACAATTTTAGATTGAAACATTTCCTATTCAAAACCTAAAATAAAGTTCTTGGTAGTAGGTCTGCAACTAATGATTATTTTGATAATCGCTTAATCTGTCGATTACTTTTTCGATTAATCGGGGGGGCAAACCAATTCAATTTCCTGCAATTTTTAATAACCCAGTCTGTCTTTGTACAAAGGTTGTTTTCAGCAACTCACGTAAAAAACAAATCTATGCTACATTAAAATCCGGAGTCCATGACAAGAACGAGTACAAATACGGCTGATTCAAAGACAAGATCGAGACCTTCAAAAACTGGTCTTACTACAACATTTGATATTACTATAAATTTCTATCATGAAGAAATGAAGCAGTGGTGTAGTGGTAACAAGAAATTTAAGGTGGGCAAACTATATGCACAGCAGTAAAAACGGTGGGTAACTATTTATATCCTTAACATTAGTGACTAATGTTAAGGATATAAAACAAATTTACAAAACGCTGTTTTGTAAATTTAAAAGGTGCGTAAATGGCGTTTATGTGCATTTACCCTCCACTACACTGAATGAAGGATTTGTGTTAAGTAAACTGAATAATTGCAAAAAATAATCCAAAAACTCCACAACGTCACATAATACATCAGTGTCTCTCCGACCTAATTTCAGCTAATTATCGTCAAATTCTGGCAGAATTAAAACAAGACTCTGCTGTGTCTGCCTCCGCCATTTTATAAACGTTTTTTTTAATTCTCCCAGAATTCATCACGTAAGCTACTCAAGGCACGCCATTGGTTCTCATCACCTTTTTCTTTTATGGCGGTCGGCATCCAGCTTAATGGTACTTTACTGCCACTGTGGCTTTGGTTAGCTTACTGCTCCCAAATTAGGAGGTTGCCACTGTACTTATGTGTATAATAACGTAGACCCAACTAATCGATTATTAAATTAGTTGGCAACTATTTTAATAATCGATTTTAATCGATTAAATCGATTAGTTGTTGCAGCTCTACTTGCTAGTCTTGTTTACAAAATATTTTTAAGCTATCTACATAATAGATGTGTATATCCTTAGTTACATTTCGACTAGCAATAGCTTGTTTTAGAGATATAAATTATAAATTTGACTACTGAAAATACAGTTAGAGGTTTCTGAAACGCACAGTACCGACAGTGTTGTTGAGGCGCTTCTGTTGTTCCCAACACCCCCGCCGCCATTCTCACGGTCAATACAGTAGCGACACTTTTATTTCTCCACTTCGAGCACTGCTTATACATATTAAACGCCAGTTCAACTGATGCCTCCGGTTATTAGCACAGTACACAGAGAGCGCTGTAGACATGCACCAGACCAGACGCATAGCACCTCAAACCCGCTTTATAACTTTACATTTAGATCGATACATGGGTATGTGTATCGATGCATTCGTGTTGTGTTTTTTTTTCTTCCCCGCCAATCAGGAGTCAGGAGCCGCTTGTGTAGATCTTCAGATTCAGCCTTTATTGCCACATTGAGGTTACAGCCAAGGCTGAACACCCTGCAGGAGTGTGTCCAATACTGTTTTACACTCATTTTTATACATTTTCTTATCGTGTAACAATATCTCGTCACTTGAGCATCATCATTTCTTCAACCATTCACCATCGTTGTTTTCTTCCTTGATCCACACCTCAAGGTGATGTTTGTCAATCATGTCTTTTACGGTTTGGTCCCTCAGCTGAACATAATGGTGGCATGGCCATCTTTAGTTGTTTTTTTTTAATACCCAACCGTGAACTTTTGCGAATCCCTTCCATCAGTAGCAAACCTTGCGTCGGTCTTTGTCAGTCACGTGTCTGCACTGTCTGACACGCCCCCATTCGCCATTTTGAGTGTACCGCGGATGTGAACACATTTGGTTAACAAACTTAATATTTCCTATTTATTGTTTTTTCTCCACAAAAATTTAATGTTTTATGTATTCAGTAATAGGCAATTTTCATTACCAAACAGAAAGAAAAACAGTCAGGAACACCGCAAAAATGTCATTGCATGGACATTATTGGTCATATTTACATTCTCTATGTATTATGAAGTGCTAAATAATATTCCATACTCACATAAAATTAATACTGATTTTCGCCTCATATCAGCGAGATTAGTATTTTAAAAGATATTTAGCATAAACACTGATAGAAAGCCACATGAGATGAACAGGTGAGCCATAACTTAAACTAAATTAGAAGTAAAATTCATATCCCTAGCTAGTTTTGCGTTAGTCTATCATATTAACATAAACTAGCAGTGCCAGAAATCGTTCATTTAGCCATATATACTACCATATACTAACCAGACGTATGGTTAATGTTTATGCTATCTCTTGTGTATATAATGCTTATTCTCATATGTATCATAAGATAATGACAAATGTGGATAACTGCAGATTCAAATATACAAAATTCATATCCAGTTTCTAGTGGCACAAATATCAGCCCATATTTACGCACTTCCGTAGTATCGAGGTTGACGAAAGGTCGGGATTACAGATGCCACTGTATATCTGCTGAGGCTTGGCTGGACTCTAAGTCCACCCTCCTTCAATGTCAACCCATGATTTACTACATGGTAGACAAGGGTTGCATGAATTTCGTTTTACAAATTTGGTCATCTTCTTCTTTGTCCTCTCCCTCCACTAGGTCTACCTCTACCTCGACCTCTTCCTTGACCTCTGCCTTGGCCTCTTCCATGGCCTCTACCTTTGCCTCTGCCTCCACCTGCTTCTCCACCATTGATGCCTCCTCTCATCCTCACTCTTCTCCTTCCTCTCATGTCCTTCATGTTTATTGATGACAGTGTAACTCACCTGTTCCCTTTTATAGTGCCTAAACCGGATTAGTGTGTCTATAATTAAGCACCTAAGTGTTGGTTGTGTTTAACCAAATAGTTTGTGGGTGTGGTTATTTGAAAGCCAGTGCTTTGAAATGGACAGGTGTGTTTAGTGATTTGCAAATCACTGTGTGTTGAGTTTTGCAAGAATTGTGAATCTGACAATGTGCTTACTGTTGTGCAAATCTGGGCCGATGTTTTGCTGAGTGTAAAGTTATGCCAAATGTGGGAGACTTTTTCTTTTAGTGTTTAAGCAATCAGAAAAAAAATGTAACATAATTGATAGTGATAGCACTAGCTGAAANAATCTAAGATACACCTAGTCAAAATACAATTTTAGATTGAAACATTTCCTATTCAAAACCTAAAATAAAGTTCTTGGTAGTAGGTCTGCAACTAATGATTATTTTGATAATCGCTTAATCTGTCGATTACTTTTTCGATTAATCCGGGGGGGGGGGACCAATTCGATTTCCAGCAATTTTTAATAACCCAGTCTGTCTTTGTATAAAGGTTGTTTTCAGCAACTCACGTAAAAAACGAATCTATGCTACATTAAAATCCCGAGTCCATGACAAGAACGAGTACAAATACGGCTGATTCAAAGACAAGATCGAAACCTTCAAAAACTGGTCTTACTACAACATTTGATATTACTATAAATTTCTATCATGAAGAAATGAAGCAGTGGTGTAGTGGTAACAAGAAATTTAAGGTGGGCAAACTATATGCACAGCAGTAAAAACGGTGGGTAACTATTTATATCCTTAACATTAGGATAATGTTTATGTGCATTTACCCTCCACTACACTGAATGAAGGATTTGCGTTAAGTAAACTGAATAATCCAAAAACTCCACAACGTCACATAATACATCAGTGTCTCTCCGACCTAATTTCAGCTAATTATCGTCAAATTTTGGCAGAATTAAAACAAGACTCTGCTGTGTCTGCCTCCACCATTTTATAAACGTTTTTCTTAATTCTCCCAGAATTCATCACGTAAGCTTCTCAAGGCACGCCATTGGTTCTCATCACCTTTTTCTATTATGGCTGTCGGCATCCAGCTTAATGGTACTTTACTGCCACTGTGGCTTTGGTTAGCTTACTGCTCCCAAATTAGGAGGTAACCACTGTACTTGTGTGTGTAATAACGTAGACCCAACTAATCGATTATTAAATTAGTTGGCAACTATTTTAATAATCGATTTTAATCGATTAGTTGTTGCAGCCCTACTTACTAGTCTTGTTTACAAAATATTTTTAAGCTATCTACATAATAGATGTGTATATCCTTAGTTACATTTCGACTAGCAATAGCTTGTTTTAGAGATATAAATTATAAATTTGACTACTGAAAATACAGTTAGAGGTTTCTGAAACGCANATCCTTAGTTACATTTCGACTAGCAATAGCTTGTTTTAGAGATATAAATTATAAATTTGACTACTGAAAATACAGTTAGAGGTTTCTGAAACGCACAGTACCGACAGTGTTGTTGAGGCGCTTCTGTTGTTCCCAACACCCCCGCCGCCATTCTCACGGTCAATACAGTAGCGACACTTTTATTTCTCCACTTCGAGCACTGCTTATACATATTAAACGCCAGTTCAACTGATGCCTCCGGTTATTAGCACAGTACACAGAGAGCGCTGTAGACATGCACCAGACCAGACGCATAGCACCTCAAACCCGCTTTATAACTTTACATTTAGATCGATACATGGGTATGTGTATCGATGCATTCGTGTTGTGTTTTTTTTTCTTCCCCGCCAATCAGGAGTCAGGAGCCGCTTGTGTAGATCTTCAGATTCAGCCTTTATTGCCACATTGAGGTTACAGCCAAGGCTGAACACCCTGCAGGAGTGTGTCCAATACTGTTTTACACTCATTTTTATACATTTTCTTATCGTGTAACAATATCTCGTCACTTGAGCATCATCATTTCTTCAACCATTCACCATCGTTGTTTTCTTCCTTGATCCACACCTCAAGGTGATGTTTGTCAATCATGTCTTTTACGGTTTGGTCCCTCAGCTGAACATAATGGTGGCATGGCCATCTTTAGTTGTTTTTTTTTAATACCCAACCGTGAACTTTTGCGAATCCCTTCCATCAGTAGCAAACCTTGCGTCGGTCTTTGTCAGTCACGTGTCTGCACTGTCTGACACGCCCCCATTCGCCATTTTGAGTGTACCGCGGATGTGAACACATTTGGTTAACAAACTTAATATTTCCTATTTATTGTTTTTTCTCCACAAAAATTTAATGTTTTATGTATTCAGTAATAGGCAATTTTCATTACCAAACAGAAAGAAAAACAGTCAGGAACACCGCAAAAATGTCATTGCATGGACATTATTGGTCATATTTACATTCTCTATGTATTATGAAGTGCTAAATAATATTCCATACTCACATAAAATTAATACTGATTTTCGCCTCATATCAGCGAGATTAGTATTTTAAAAGATATTTAGCATAAACACTGATAGAAAGCCACATGAGATGAACAGGTGAGCCATAACTTAAACTAAATTAGAAGTAAAATTCATATCCCTAGCTAGTTTTGCGTTAGTCTATCATATTAACATAAACTAGCAGTGCCAGAAATCGTTCATTTAGCCATATATACTACCATATACTAACCAGACGTATGGTTAATGTTTATGCTATCTCTTGTGTATATAATGCTTATTCTCATATGTATCATAAGATAATGACAAATGTGGATAACTGCAGATTCAAATATACAAAATTCATATCCAGTTTCTAGTGGCACAAATATCAGCCCATATTTACGCACTTCCGTAGTATCGAGGTTGACGAAAGGTCGGGATTACAGATGCCACTGTATATCTGCTGAGGCTTGGCTGGACTCTAAGTCCACCCTCCTTCAATGTCAACCCATGATTTACTACATGGTAGACAAGGGTTGCATGAATTTCGTTTTACAAATTTGGTCATCTTCTTCTTTGTCCTCTCCCTCCACTAGGTCTACCTCTACCTCGACCTCTTCCTTGACCTCTGCCTTGGCCTCTTCC